ATTTGGAGCAGAACCATGCTTGCTTCGATCTCATAACTTTACCAGTATAAAGATTAGGTCACTGTGCTTGAACCCATAAATAGTGGTGTTTGATTTAAAAAAAAAAAAATCTTGTGTATTTAAGTTTGCAGAAGTTTTGCTCTTTTCCAGTCTAGGTGGACATGGATGATTTTATAGCCTCTAATTATTCCTAAAAAGCTGTGTCTTTCAATTGTATTTTTCAGTTGCCCATCATCATGGTTGTTGCCTTTTCAATGTGTATTATCTGTTTGCTTATGGCTGGTAAGTGTACTTTTGTTTCAGATTCTTTATATCACTTTTGAGACAGGTCTTAACTGTTTAGCTCTTGATGGCCTGAAATTTGCTAATTTGCCTTCTTACATTTATCTTTTAGAATGTTGAACTTGGTTGTTCATCTTGGGTGTTGGGTTCACTCAGTACTTGATGTCTACTTATTAAGTTTAATGAGTTTGATACTTGGGTTTATTTTTGTATGTGTGTGTGGTGCGGGGCAGCACTCTGCCACTAGGACACATCTCAATTCCTAGTAGTTTTCTGTTGTTGTTATTAGTGATAGTGGTAATTCTTTGTTTAAAATCTCCTTTTATTTTAAATTAGTATACAGGCTATCTGATATCAATTATGACATTCTCAGACAAAGTATCTTAGCGATTCTCCTTCTCCCTTATCTCCCCTGATCCCCTTCTGCTTTAATTACTGTTATTATATGAGGGATGCACATGTAGAAGTCAGGGAACAACTTTGTGGAATTAATTCTCTTTCTACTTTGACATCCAGGGATCAAACTCAGGTTGCTAGGCTTGAAAAACAAGTACCTTTACCTACTAAGCTATTTGACTGGCCCTGTTTTTTAACTTAACATTTTTATAATTTTTTTCTTGTTACCAAACCATCATGTAATAATTATAGGGAACATAATTAGGCAAATATGAAAACTAAAGTTGCTATCCTGCCTTCTCGAGATAAGCTAACTCTTGTGTGAGTATGCGGCTTGTGTAAGGCCGTGAATGCAGTGGTACGTATGTTTAGCTCATCCTTGTACTGTGGGCTGTAGGGATCAAATTCAGATACCATGTTTGTATGACAATAGCCTTTACCCACTGAGCGATTTTGCTGGCCGTTAATCATATTTTGATGTTTGTTTCTTGAGACAGGTTCTCTCGATTTAGCTCTGGCTATCCTGAAACTTCTATGTAACGACTATCTTGATGGCATCCTGCAGATGCTGCTCCCCAGCCTCCCATGTCCTTTGTTCCTTCCTGGCTTTCTATAGCGCTCTCCGCACTTGTCTTCTGTCCTGTTCCTCATTAAAGTCATGAATATGAAGAAATTTGCTTTTTAGAGGTGGAATACCCTCCTGGTACACCTGGTAGAGCCACCATGTATTTTTCTGCACAGAATGATTTTCTCACTGTCTTTACCACCCAATCATCAGATTTTTGAGGGAGAGACCATTCTGTTCATTGTTTTGTCTGCTGTGTGTGGGCTGTAGTAAACTCTCACCGCCTTAGTCTCTAATGCCATCAGTGTGCATTTCTTAGGAGGAGGCTCAGTGCCATGCATTTCTGTCCTCAGCAGAGCTGAGCACTATAAACTGTTGGCAGAGCACAGAGTTTGTGGAGTAGAGGGAAGAAGCCACAATAACCTGACATCCTAGTTAGCAAACTTCTGCAAAGAGCCAGACAGTGAGCATTTTTGTCTCTGTAATATATTCTTTGTCCATCTAAAAATGCAAAACCCATTCTTACAGTAAAAACAGGAAAAGGGTATAGGAATTGCTTACAGTAATGATTGTGGTTCTATGTCAGGTTTTATGTCAGGAAAGAAAAAGGAACAAATCTAGTCAGCGTGTGCTGATTGCTCAGAGGCCAACAACTGGTTTCAGCCTCTCCCTGGATCCTCTGTCTTAGAAAACACTGCCCAGTGGGTGCCCGTTTCCTGGAGTCACTCCCGTTTATGAGTTTTTATTTTCACCACTAGTTAAAGAACTTCTGAAGAGATAAGAAAAGTTAATCCCGCATATGTCAAAACTCAGTAAAATTTGGTGCTCAGTGGTTAAGAGCAGAGGACCAGGTTCAAGTCATTTAAAACCCTCTGAAATTCCAGTCCCAGGGGATCTGATGCCCTCTTCTGGCCTCTTTGGGCACTATAAGCAATCACAGATATCATGCCAGCAAACACTTATAAGATAAAAATAAAATCTCAAATATTATCTTTTAAGAAAGAAAAGTTAATTCTAAGATCTTGGCCTGAGTGAAGTGAAGGATTCTGGGAAGTGTCTGGTAACTTCTGGTAGCTTCTAGGAAGCTCTGTTCTTGGCCTGGGAAGAAGCACAGGGGCACAGCGCTTGCTTAGCCTGCGTGCTTGAGGTTCTGGTTCAGGCCTGTCCTGGTTAGTTTTTGTCATAGTTGTTGTTTCATTTTATCTTTTTCCAACTTGGTACAAGCTAGAGTTACCTAGGAAGAGGGAACATCACTTGAGAAAATTTCTCCACCAGATTGGCCTGTAGGGAAGTCTGTGGGGCATTTTCTGGACTAATGATCGATGTGGGACGGCCTAGCACACTGTAGGCAGCCACCCCTGGGCAAGTGGGCCTGGGTTATATGGTGATGCAAACTGAGCAAGCCATGGGGAGTAGTCTAATAAGGAACATCCCTCCACGATCTCTGTTTCAATTTCTTCCTCTAGGTTTCTGCCTTGAGTTTCTGTCCTGACTTCCCTTCAGTGATGGACTGTAAAGTATAGGCCAAATAAAGCCTTTCCTTTCCAGGTTCTTTTGATTATGATATTTATCACAGTAATAGAAATAAAACCAGGACAAATTCCCAAACAAATACTAACTTGCCTTCTGCACAACTTTTAAGACTCGGCTATGAAAACTGATAATGTCAAATTTAGTAATATTTTTGAATAAAAAGATAGTGAATGCTGTGGACAGTAACTTGTGAGGTAATGCATGGGATAGGGTAGCTGATTTCCAGCCCTTGCTGTGGCTTTCTAGAAGGAACATAAATGTCAATAACCTCTGATGTGGTAGGAAGTCCAGAAGTGGTTTCCTTCCCTTGAACAATCTTACTGGCCATTTGACTCTGAATGTGTTTCTCTATAGTTGAGGCCAGCAGGTGCAGAGAAGTGTCAGCTCTTCAAAGAGAAAAATAGGTCTTTGCTCCGTGGATGCTGCTAACCTTCATAAACTCAACCAGCAGAGTTGTGTTAAATGCTGTTAAATGTTATGATTTATATAGTTAATTTATGATTTATATAGTTAATTTAAACATGTAACTTTAACTAAAATACACATTTTGTAATGTATTTTATAGGTATTTTTAAGCTATTAGTTTCCTGTGTTAGTAAAGAATTTAATCTCAATGATAATTATGTTTTTTTCTCTGGTCAGTTCCCTTAGTATTGCTGGGAACTTATCACAGAGGGAACAAGTTCTTAGAGTCTCACAGCTGATGGCTTATCGAGCCTTGAAGAGTTGAGATCCCTGGTTTAAACCTTAAGAGGTTCTTGTATTTTTTTTCCTGTGGACGTGCTAGTAACCTTTAGTGTGAAATTGTGGTATACAACTAACAGTTTTATCTGGCATCAACAATGATGCATTATCTCTTTTTAATATCAACAGGTGACACTTGGACAGAAACTCTGGCATATGTCCTCTTCTGGGGAGTTGCAAGCATTGGAACATTTTTTATTATTCTTTACAATGGCAAAGATTTTGTTGATGCTCCTAGATTGGTCCAGAAAGAAAAGATAGACTGAATTTGTGTTTGTGGAAAGCGGCTTGGCTTGGAAGATTCCATGATGCAGAACTGGAGTCTTTACTGACCTGCTTTCCACAGAAGTCCCAAGGTCTCCTCAAAGCATTTATCCAAAAGCTCCTCTTGTGGTCTGGGCTGGGTGATGTCTTAGGATTGATCTGTAATTACTGCTTCAATGATCTCTTTACTGTTGGGATGGTTATATTTATAATTTGAAGCTATACTATAATTCAAATGTAGCTTAAATTCAGCTCACAGATCAGAAGAAATCTATTCGCTGTCAAGTTAATCAAAAGTTCACAGATAAGTAATATATTTTAAAATTTTAACTTCTTTCATTATTTAAGACAGTAAAATTATTTTTCTAGCTCTGTTTCATTATTGTCATTGCAAAGCAGCCACTGTTAGCAGCATATTTTCCATATATCTTTGGACTTAAACGTTTAATAATACGCTAATCCTACTATGTTTCTAGAATGTAATGTCTCTTACAAGTATCAGGTAGTTTGATAAGGAGTAATTTCACAGGAGGGAAGAGGAGACCAGGATCTAGAGCTGTTTGAAGTTTCTGGTAGCTGCCTCCTGGCTTCAGCTGCTCTTGTGCCCCTGCAGCTTACGTGTCATGAAAAGTTCAGATAGATTTTATCTTTTTTAGAAGGTGTAAATGAAATCAAAGAATGTAAGAATGTAAAGTCTGTCTCTTATGCTAAAAGGTCCAAAGTCGCCTCATTTTAGGAACTGCTCTATTGCGGAAAGTACACCAGACTGGCCGGCTGCTTCCTCTCATATCTGTGGGGACCTTTTTATTTCTTCTCTCTTTTTTGGTTACTCCTTGAGACATGCAGGCCTAGATTTTGATTCACACTTGGGGTAGCAACTGCTTTTCCGTGCATGGTACTCTTGCTTTCTCACTTTGTCAAGGTTTTTGTTGGCTGTCAATAAGTGTCTGAAATTTAGTGCTTCCAGGTAGCCACAGTTCTCCAAATCAAGGACCAACTTTAATTTATGCATAAAACAGACTGAAAACTGCTCTTCAGAAGCTGTGCATAGTTGTAATTGTAAGACAGGTTATATATTAAAATTGTAATTATGAGGTTTAGATATTAGAACAGTATATAAGGTAGTATCATTGCGCTATCTTAAAGCAATTCAGTTAAACACTGCTATGGTACATCAGTGTTTTGCTTAAAAATATGTAGAGTTTTTTTCTAATAGTACCTTATGTTGTCCTTAAATATTTCTAAAAGCGCCTTTAACATTACCTTTTTTCAACATTATCTTTTATAAACAATAAGAGTTATTGCTTTTAGAAACTCTGGGAAAATCCTGTGTAGCTTAAAATCAGTCATTAAAACTCACAGTAAGGTAAGTAAGTAGCCACCTGCTCTGACATGTAAATAGCAAATTTGTCCAAAGGTGGAATATTGATGCCCAGTCCACGTCTACTATAATTATTATTCAGATGTCATTGAGCATTTCACAGTACATACTTCATGTCAACAGCTACAGCAAACACCAAATCTGCACCACTAATGTCCTTGGAAATTGGGTTAGGCTGCAAGTGATCAATGTTTTAGAGCCCTGCAATGATTTAGTTTAATTCATGTACTGTACGTCCATATGCAAAATAAAATGCCATATTCTTTCTTAACCACTGTTGGTGTTGTTTCTGTATTTTTATCAGAGGTGGTATTTTTTTTTTATCTTAAAGCAATGTTTGGTCATTATAGAAGTACTAGTCATTATAAGTAAGCAAGGAAACCAATAGCTTCTAAACTGTTTTCCAGTGATGATCACCTAAGACATTTTTATATCTTTATCATTATTTTTTATAGATAAAACTAAGACAACATTTAGTAATACATAACATTTACTGAGATTTAATGTCTATAAGAATATCTCCACTTCCAAGTTATAATTTGTTTCAAATTATAATAAAGGTTTAATATAAAGGTTTTAGGGTGATAAGGAAGTATGGGTGGATAAGTGATGCAGGTTGCAACTGATAAACGGGAAAATAGTACATATTGAAAAGTATTTTCAGGGCTGGGGATGTGGCTCTGTTGGTAGAGCACTTAGCTGGTATGCATGAAACCCTGGGCACAATCCCAGTACTCTAAAAGACCTGGCATGGTGACCCACACCTGTAATCCCAGCACGTCAACAAAATGTGGTAGGTAATTAGTTAGTGAGGATTTAAAGCCTGTTCCAGCATACCTGATTTTCCTTTTACCCTTTTGTTGTTGGTTGTTGCTTTAAATTTATAAATTTTTGCCTATGTATACTTATGGATCCTTTGAACTCAGTCTTCATTATCAGTGGTTATATCTGGAATCCATGTCAGCTAGTGCCCATTGATGGAAAGAAGGCTGTACATGGATGAGGGCCCTTGTGAGGGATATGTATGTTTCAAGGATTTCATCCTCCTCACACCTTTAAAAATAAAATTTAATCATATTTGAGATTTACAACATATGGACTATGTAGTAAATGTACAGTATACTAGAGCAGATTACCGCATCATCTCACAGTTCATTTTGGTCAGAGTGAAATCAGATTTAACAAAATCTTATTTGGTTTTATTGTGTCACATACTGTGATTTCTAGATTTGCATCCTCTACTTTTGAATTCTTTCATCTATAGCTCATTATTTTCCTCCTTTTCTACTACCAAGGAGCAAGAGTCAAGTCACATGTAAGGTGATATCCGTTAGACTAAAATAAATGGATTTATCAATATGTTCTAACTGCTAAAAGAAAGAAATCTGCCAGTCAAGAAAACCATATCCAGCAAAGTTACACTTCAGTGGTGAAGCAAAACACTTTCCTCAACAAGAGAAAGCAGAGGAAATTAATCACCATTAGAAGCTCCTTCAGGAAATACTGAAAGGTCAGGTGTCTGTAATCCAAGCATTGGACAGAGTGAAGTCAGGACTGTTTCAACCCATTGTAGTGTTGATTGCTCCTTGAGACTCATACCTACTCCCTCTGCCATCCTGAGGCAGTGGGTGCACATGGCCTCAGAAATGCCATGTCATGAGGGCAGGCTGAGGCTCCAGGGAACGTCAGCATGGTGAAGCTGTGCCTGGAGGATCACAGATTCTAGTCTAGCCTAAAATGAACAGGTGCAGACCAAACCTGGGGTACAGACATACCAAGACTCCATCACAACAACAGAAAAGCAAATGATAGAGGTAAATTTGTAAGCCAGTATCTCGTTACTGTAATGGTGGTATGTAAACATTTGATATTTCTAGAATGAAAGCTAAAGGTCGAAATGATGAAAAGTACCTACTATGAGTTGACTATGTAACACAAAAGGGTATAAATTCTGGCAACAAAAGTATACATTATGGAATATAAAAAGTCTGTAGTATTTATGGCCAAAGTTAGGTTTCTGTCAGCATGATACAGAAAATTAAATTTTCTTTGCAGATTCAGGAAGCAGAAAGTAAAGTAACTAACTGAGGAACATCTACCTTAGGAAGGAGCTGTAGAACAGTGAGTGCTGATAGTAAGTCCCTGAGAGGTCCGCTTCAGGCCATAGGAAAGTTTGCTCTGCTCTTGAAGTGGCACATGAAGAAAGTCCCCAGGGCTACCAGAGGGATGCATATGGTAGAGGAGGCCACCAGAAGCCCAATGACGGCGAGTGCATATGTAGGGTAGTCCTTGGTAACCACATGACCCTGCAAGAGAGACAGGAGAAACCTTCACTAGTCTTAAGACTCCAGTCTCCATTCCAGAAAAGGAAGGGAAATGGGTGAGTTGTATTTAGGTTGACCATGAAATATCCCTCCTGCCTTCCTCAGACTTGGGTGCCTACCTTCTCTAGCTATGCAGTTCGACTTTGAAAGGCTCTGAAGCTAACTGGGGAAGTAGGTAATTGGGGACTGTTCCTTGGGTTATTCGGTCTCTGGAGGATTCCACTCTGTTTTCTGACCATTTGGGAGTGAAGGAAAACCACTCTGGTGCACATTCTGGTTGCTGTGATATTCTGCCCAAGTCAATAACGTGACTCTGAAACTGACTCAAGTCTTTTTTCCTCCCTGCATTATGCCAGGAGTTTGGTTGGTATTATAACGGGTGGGAATGTGCCTGTAGACCAGCACTTCGTGTGACAGTAAGCCTGCACCAAAACCACCCTCAGAAAGAGCCATTCCAACATGTAAGGCTCCTATGAAAGAAGAACAGCATCTCTACAATGGTGTCCTCACCATGTAGGGGAAGGTTCCCTGGGATGCTGTGGGCGACTCTTACTCTCTCCTGCATCATGGCTAACCGCTCACAGCCCCGTTCTGCTGTATGAGACTGAGCATCTGGGAAACATCTCGATGAAGTTCCCACACCACAGCAATGGTTCCCTGGGTTCTGCCCTATTCCCCAGCCTGCAGGATCGTCAGGTACCTGAGTGGCGTCCCAGGCTTGGTACTGCAGCGTTCCTGTGATGATGTAGTCGCTCAGGTAGAAGATAAAGAGGCCGATGATGAGCAGTGGACTCACAAATGCCCACATGGACTTCCAGTACCAGTTGAGGGTGCGGCCGGTCATGGCCTCAAGGTCACTTCCAAATCTGTTTGGACCACAAGGAGAGAACCTGGGCTTATTCATACTCTGGAGGTAGGGGCTCCAGTTTCCATGCCCTCTTCCCTTAAGAAGATGCTGTCCTGGTTATTAATGATGTTTGAATGTGTCCCTGAACCCATCTGATCCTTTCCTTGGTGAGGTGTTGAGGTGAAGGGAAAAGGGCTGAGGCTCTGCCTTTGGGAGGATGACCAGTAAAGAACGGTCATGGGACATCTCCCTGGTGTTAGCTTCCAGAGGTCCCCAGGTGTGGACCAGAGGCTACTTCCCAAAAAAGGTGAGAGCAGGGTACATCGGGGAGGGAAATGCCAGTCCTCTCAGTCCACAGGGCTAGGGTGACATTGCCTCTCTGCTTGCTCACTCTGTCCGTTAGTGATGGTTCCAAGTATCCTCTACTGACCCCTAGAAATGGTCTCAGAACAGCATCTTTTTCGTGGAAGAGCAGTTAAGACTGGAGCAAGAGCTGGGGGCCTGAGGTTCTGAAGGACTCTTTCTTCCCCCTCCTTGCAGGATGACTAGAAAAACAAGGTCTGAGACTAGTGGTTCTCAGCAGGTGGTCCTCAGAACACCAAGGAAAGTGCTAGAAATATCAATTGTTACACTTTGTCCCAGACCTTAGCCAGATACCAAATTAAGGAGGTCCTGTAATCCTCATTTCATCAGGCCCCAGATGGACATTCCATCACCTGGAAGGCTGAAAACATCTCAGTGTTGGGCAGGGAGCCAGGGTAGAAATCTGATGTCTGATGTCTATTAAGTCAAAATTCCTAACTGGACTTTGACCTGGGTTCTTGCAGACCCTAATGCTGGTGGATGATCAGCGTATCTAGGTCTGGAGGCTGAGTCCTTGTCCAGAAAGAATGCTGTGATAAAAAGTGGAAAACAGGAAATGGAAAGAAGTTATTGGATGCAGGCAAACTGAGGAAGCAAGAGATAACTGAGATCTGAGGGCAAAGAAGCATCTAGAAGCAATGTATCTATTGAAGAAGGATGATTTTCTTAAGAGTGCAGCCCTGCAGCCTCTCTGCCCCACGTAGAAGGCAGGGTCTGCAGTCTCACCTCTTTAGCCCATATACGTAGCACACAGCTATGGTCTCCATCAGCACAATGAGCAGCAGGGACAGGGTGGCTGCATAGTCATTGAATATGTCAAACCAGTAGTTCCCGGACTCCATGGTGAACACCATACCAATGGCACAGTTGATGAGGCACACCAGACCTGGAACGCAAGATCACTGCTCATTTCTCTGAGTCTCCCTGCCTCTCAAATCCCATGCTATATGCCAGCAGGAGCCACAGGTCCCTAGACACACCACTTTGGAGGGTAGATTTGTCCACAGGAGCTGTAGGAGCTTCTCGGTAGGGGATGTCAGCTCAAGGAAAAAGCAGTTGGGGGCATTGCATACCAGCTTAGGCTACAGAGACCCAGTCCCAAGGAGGATGTCAAGTGCTGAGTAAAGAGTAGCTTCCAGTGGGTAGTTAGAACATGAAGACTAGATGGGGCCTTGTTTTGCCCATCCTGGATGTGGAATTACAGAATTATCGGAGGTAGAGGTGGCTGGCTGCAGGGTACTCATGACCCCTGGTTGGGTAGGATGACAGTGAAGGTATTGAATAGGCATCATGGAAAAGGCTAGTTCCTTTGTTAACAGCCTCACAATCAAAATGCAAGAAGTGGTGTGTCTGATACAATGGTGTATCAGACAGGACTGACAACAGCATAGTGGAGCTCACTGACAGGTTTTGAATGTCAACAGCAGGCCCAGATTATCCTTTTCAATGACTTTCAGGAACAGAGAGAAAAACTAGTAAGTAGCATTAGTAATCGGGAACAGGGTGATCTGATTGGATGTTTATTGCATGGAGAGTATGTGGAAGGAGCTCCTCCTGGTGTGGGAACAGGTCATGCATTAAAACAAAACCTGATGTGGGCTCTCAAAGCCTGGAGACCTATGAGTGCAGGCTGGAGAGTTGTCACCTTTTCCCAAGGGTAGGCTGACTGCCTCATTTCCCTGGGATGTGGTGAGTTCTTAGTCTCACATAGGGCTGAGTAGCACAGTCTTGCAGGAAGGAGCACAGCTAGACTCCTACAGTCCTTCTGGAGCTGCCTCAGAAACACGTGGCTCCTGAGGAAGCCCCTCCACTGGTTGTCTTGCATTTTCCCACCCGCCCATGCTCTGCCTCCACTGCCTGGTGTCCTGACCTGAAATGGCCTCCCTGGGCAGGTAGCTGGAGATGGCCTTGCTGTCAGTCAGAGGGGTGAGGATGGCCACTGTGTTTCCAAGCATGCTTCCCATACCCATCGTCAGCAGCATGAAGAAGTAGAGCACTGACCACAGCTGGGGCACGTACATGTTTTTAATAGCCTCAGTGAAGACGATGAAGGCCAGGCCTGTGCCCTGGACAGCCTGCAAGTGGTAAAATGATACCAGTTACATGCCTTGATAGTCTCTTTACACATGTTCAATGTTGGGACCTTGGAGCTGGTCACATAATGAATCTGTTTTCTTTACCTCAGAGCCCAGGTTTAGAGGCTCACCTGGACTGAAGAGAACACACACACACTCAATGTGATGAACTTTCTGTCAGTACTGAACCCTGCATTCCCCTTCCTGTCCCAACTTATATTTTAGATAAAATATTACAAAATCAAAAACATCTGGGTCTTTGTTTTCAGTGCTGAAACTGAGGAAATGTGGGGATTCCTGGCAGGGTTGCTTGGTGGTCACATGCCTATGTTGGTAATCTGCTACAGAAGCTGAGTCTACTTTTAAAAAAAAATTATATTTTATGTGTGAGTGCTGCATGAGTGCTTTGCATATATACCTGCATGCCAGAAGAAGGCATCAGATCCTATTATAAATGGTTGTGAGTCACCGTGTGGCTGCTGGGAATTGCACTCCGAACTTCCGGAAGAGTAGCCAGTACTCTTAACCTGAGCCATCTCCCTAACCCTGAGTCTACTAGTTGTGCTTAAAGTCAAATCCCTTTTGACACCAGTAAAGGGTCCAGAGTGGGTGAGTTTAGACTAGCCACAGGACTACTAGAAATTAAGCCATGAACTCACATATAAGGGTTTACAAAGCCACAGGAAGGTGAGACATTGTCAGCAAGAATGACAAACATTTAGAACGTCCCTCTTCAAGGATGACATATGTTTGCCATTCAGACATGCTATGGATGGTTTGTTGGTTAGGTTTTTTGAGACGAGGTTTCTCGGTGTAACAGCCCTGGCTGCCCTGGAACTCACTCTGTAAACCAGGTTGTCCTTGAACTCACAGAGATCCACCTGCCTCTGCCTTCCAAGCACTGGGATTAAAGGTGTGAGCCACCACTGCTGACTGGACTGAATTCTTAATGTTGAAACTTCTACCCTCAAAGTGACTGCAGTTCAGACAAAGCCTTTAGGGAGTCACTAAAGTAAGGCTTAAAAGGTGGCATCCCAGTCAGTGCTATCACTGATCCTGGAAGCAAAGTCTCACCAGAAACCAGCCTTGAGAAGTATGACAAATATCTGTTGTTTCGCCACCAATCTCTGAATTTTTTATAGGAACCTGATGGACTGACATAATACAGACCAATTTAATGGCGTATCAATGGTGCTGATCATAAGGACGCATACAACTGTAAATAGTAAAATATATTAAACGTTGTTTTGTGTGTCATTCTTACTATTGCCGCAGTTTCTGAAAGTGAGGGGACCTTTTTCACCCAGTTGGGATTTTTCCAGGGTCCTAAGAGGCTGGACACTCCGAATCATTAAAGACTGGCCCAAGGCAGTGATGTGGTTCATTGTCTCTTGCAAATGAAAATTAAAGATGCTGCCTTTATTAAGAATTATTTTAGAGGACTGGGCGTGGTGGCTCATGACTTTAATTTCATTACTCAAAGGAGGCAGAGGCAGGCAGATCAAGGCCAGCCTGGTCTACAGAGTAAGTTCTAGGATGGCCAGGGCTACACAGAGAAACCTTGAAACCCTGTCTCCAAAAACCAAAACTACAGGAAAGTAAGAAAATATGAAAAAGTGAGAGAAATCCCAAGAGTGGGAAGGGTTTCTGTAGAAAGGAGCTGCGGGCAGGCCTGCTTTTCGTCCTGCCCGGCTCCTGCATGGCTAGCTTAGCCCCAGAAATAACAACACACAAATTGTATTCATTTAAGCACTGCCTGGCCCATTATCTCTAGAGAGTTAGTTACTGACTAACTCTCATATCTTGATATTAACCCATTTCTAATAATCTGTGTAATCGTGGTGGCTTACCGGAAAAGATTCAGCATATCTGACCTGGTGGCTGGCTCCATGGCTTCTGGCTCATAGCCCTCTTCCCAGCATTTTGTTCTGTTTACTCCGCCTACCTAATTTTCTGTCCTATCAAGGGGCCAAGGCAGTCTCTTTATTGACCAATGAAAATAACACAATAGACAGATAACCCTCTTCCATCAGGTTTCCAAGAGGAAAATGTTGAATTTCTTTTGTCCAGTCTTTTTATAGCACAATGGCAGAGGATGAATAAAGACTCTGTTGAGATTACTTAATTCTCTGGGCTGTCATGGGTCCACACACTATGTGCATGTCCTCCTGGCCCAATCAGGGAGACACAGACACAGTCCATCTAGTACCCATGCAACTAGGGGTGGTTCAAGCCCCTGTATGTTCATCTGTGTCTCCAGCTCTGTTACTGCCCTTGACTTTCTATTAGTCATTAGCTGGTATTGCTACCTTAGACTTTTCAGGTGTCTCAAGAGCTGTTAATTAGACCAAGAAGTGTTCTCACATTTACATGACCAACTTGTATCTTTACTATCACAGTCACCTAGGTGGAATCCTGTTAGGAGAAACCTTCTATCTACACTTGCAATTTAGTTTTAATTAGCTTCATTAGAAGCAAGAATTTATGAAAGAACAACAGTTCCTCAAGGACTTTGGAGGGGGCAGCCTATCTGCATCACTGACTCAGAGCCTTTCCCTTATCTCTCTAGCTTGGTTATCTCATACCCACCCATAAGCTTTCCTATTCATCTTAGTGTTCCAGGCTTTGCTGTCTTGACCCTTAATCTTTTTAACACTAACCTCTGTTCTCACTACAACACGTGCGGCAAACTTGCTGCCTTCAGGGAGCTAACTCCTGTGTCCTGTGAGCCAGTCTTTCTCTCAGGGTCAGAGGTAAAGGAGTCCTCTAGTCCTCTAGTCTCTCGTTTTCCTGCTTAAGGCCACTATTATAATAGCTATGTATAAAGTGTTAAAGTCATAAATAACAACACTAGTATCTAGAAATGGATATTATTGAAACGAACATAGTGTTGTAAATGACAATGTGAAATTGCTGAAATATCCAAGTGAAACACCAGATCTGATGCCACTGAAGAGAAAAGGAGTGAACTGGGAGATACATAGACAGTTGTAGCTAAGAGACAGAAAAAATAAATCTATAATAAAAATCAATACAACTAACCTGAAAAAGTAGATCAAAATAATAAAGAGGCTTATATAATAGTTTACAAATTTTAAGATATGAAGTTCCAAAGGGCGGGGGGCAGGGAAGCAGTGGTTAAGAGATAAATTTTTGAGTTTTTCAAATTTTTAAGAAACATGGTCCATAGATCAGAAAACCTGACACCACTTAGGTTTAGATTGAGCAAATAAGGCTACATCCACACCACTGAGAGGGCCAAAGACAAGGGGAAGATCATAACACGGTTCAGACAAAACTGCTTGCTAACAAAAGATGAAAGAATTAACAACAATGGAAGACAGATATTGTTGAATACATTGTTGAAAGAAAATTGTTAACCTGAATTTTTTACTTGTGGGCCAAACAGATATTTACATACAAACTAAACATGAACATATTTTCTGTTGAGAATGCATCTCAAAAGGAAGATATTTTAAGGGAGGATCCCCAAACCCTAAAGTCTATAATGCAAAAAGGAATGGTAAATAAAATGGCAAACATTTAGGTGTGAATATAATCTGCATAAAATAACCAAGAGGTCCAACCTGTGGCCTATAAATTGGATGTGGATTATTCCTTGTCCTCTTTTGTGAGTCAATTATTATCCAACTTTTGATTTTAAGTTTGCATGGAAATGTCTCAAGAAGAGATTTCAGGGTGAGGCTAAGCAGGCAAAGGTCTGTGCTACCAAGTCTGACAACCTGAGTTCAGTTCCTAGGAGGGAGAGGCTAAAGTCTTCAACTTGTCCTCTGACTTGAACTCCTTCTTTGTGGAACATGTGCACACATCCCAATGAGTGTAACAAATTCAAATTCAAAATGAAAAGCAATGAAGGAGGGAAGAGTCAAAGACTCTCAGGTTTCAATGGCAAAAACAGAGTCTTGGAGAGAAGAGTGAGCAAGAATAAAAGATGGAGGCCTTAAGGCTAGAGTTACAGCCTGTGGTGTGATGTGCGCCATGCCTTGAGCTGATGCAGCAGGGCCTGGGCCTGAGTCACCACAAGAAGGCGTTGCCTTCCCCATGAAATCACCTGGAATTTCTCCTCAGACTAAACAAAATCCTGTCTAATCAAACACAAAAATTAAGCAGTTTTCAATTTTTTTTTGGCAACCAGAGCCACAGGCCTTTTGTTGTCCCTATTCTTGAAGAGTAGTCTCTGAAATTAATCTCTAAGAATGTGTTTAAATATTAAAAATGATACAAATAGGCCCACTCTCAATTTCACTTACATTGTTGTTGGAATCTTAGTGCAATGAAAAAAAAGATATGAAGTACAGACATTTAAAAGAAAAATAGAGTTGGCCAGGGTAGTGAATGTCTGTATTCCCACCACCTGGAAGATGGAGGCAGGAGTATCATGAGATCAAGACAAGCCTGGACTATGAGATTCATTTCTCAAAATGAAAATAAAAGGGGCAGGAAGAGAGAATATGGGGAGAAGGAGGAACACTCCAATCAAATGGGGGTGAGGAAACAAGCAGGGGTTGATATCCTAATAGCTGACATAATAGACTTTGAACTAGCACTAGTCAGAAGAGAAAGAAGGGTACTTCATTCTAATTAAGGGGGCAATTAGCATTAACATTACTCTCCCAAATAATACACCAAACTCTGGTGAATCCAATTTCATTAAAAGTGTACTAAAATTAAAGGCATAGGTTAACATCAAATAGTGGGTGTTCTCAATACCCCACTTTCTGCAATGGATGGGTCATCTGGATACAGAGTAAGCAAAGAAACATCCAAATTAAATGCTATCATACATCAAATGACCCTAACATTTCTACAGAATATTCCTTCCAAATACCAAAGACTATACATTCTACTCAGCAGCACACATAAGCTTCTCTAAAATAGAACACATCCTGGGATATAAAACAAAACTTAACAAATTCAGGAAGACCAAACTAACTCTGCATAGCCCATCTGACCACTATGCAATAAAACAAAACTGAAAGCAAAAAAGTCACTAGTAAATATACAAATTAATAGAGAGTAAACAACTCATCACTGAATGGGGAGTATGTCAAAGAAAAATCAGAAAATAAAAAGAATTAAGTCATATGGGGGGAAGTTAGAATTCTAAGTGCATATATTAAAGAACAAATAAGTGACTTAATGGCAAAGCTCAGAAATTTTGAAAAGTAATAGTAGTTACTTTTCTATTGTCATGAAAAATGATGACCAAGGCAACTTATAAAAGAAAGTGCTTAGTTTGGGCATCACAACTACAATGGGTTAGAGTCCATGACCATCATGGGGGAGCAGGGCCACAGACAGACAGGCATGGTGCTGGAGTAGTAGCTGAGAGTTTACATATTGATCCACAGCATGAGACACAGCTCACTGGGAATGGTCTGGGCTTTTAAAACCCCAAAGCCTTCTCCCAGTTACACACCTCTTTCAACAAGGCCACACCTTCTTTGTAAACTATAAATTTTGTATTTCTTTTCCTCACTTGCTCTTTTTTGATCATGACCTGCCTAAGAATGAATACTAATAACCATGCAATAGAAGCAATATTAGGCTGTCTTGAAATCTCCTCTGCCAATAAAATTAGTGCAAAACTCTTCAGTTTAGCCTCAATCAACAATAACAACAACAACAAAACCCAGCATGGCCAGTCCTATTACAAAAATAACCTACGCTAGAGTACCAAAAGTCCTAGCTACTTTCCTATAATGACAAGACACCCTGACCAAAGCAACTTATAAAAGAAAGCATTTAGTTTGGAGCTTAAAATTCCAGAGGGTTAGAATCCATGACTCTCTTGGCAGGGAGCATGGCAGGCAGGCAGGTAGGCATGTGCTGGGGCAGTAGTGACATCTTGATGCAGAAACATTTAGCAGACAGAAAACTGGGGATGCATAGAGTTTTGAAACCTCAAAGCCTGCCCCCCAGTGGCACACCTCCTCCAACAAGGCCACACCTCCTCCAGCAGTTCTACCAACTAGAGCCAAGCATTCAAATATGTGAGCCTACTGGGGCCATTCTTATTCTAACTACCATAATATGAATATTTTGCTCTATTTTTTTTATGGAAACTACTGTGTTGGTTACTTATCAGTGTGAGTAAAATCACCAACAAAACAACTGAAGTAAGGGAAGGTTTACTTTGACTCACAGATTGGAAGGGTTCACAGTGTATAGTTCCTTGGACCCCATGCTCTTGGGCAGAACATGTCTTTGGAGCACTTCCTCTGTTTCCTGACATAAAAGGAGAGAAAGGGGAATACAGAATGAATGATAATGGCCCCAGATGCTCATAAATTTCAATGCTTGGTCTCCAGTTGGTGGAATTGTTTGTGAAGAATTGGGAGATGTGGCCTCATGGGAAGAGGTGTGTCACTAGGGGTGGACTTTGAGGTTTCAAATCTCATACCATTCCCAGTTAGTGCTCTGTCTCTCTCTGCCTTGTGCCTGTGCTTCAGAATGGAAGCTCTCAGCTATTGCTCCCCTGTCATATCTGCCTGCCTGCCACTATGCTTCCTGCCATTATAATTAGACTCTTTTGGCACCATGAGCCTCGTTTATAAATTGCCTTGGTCATGGTGTTTCATCATAGCAAAAGAAAATTAACTAAGACACATAAAAATATGGAAATTCATAAGAATTCAGTGAGACTTCTAACCAGATTCATATAAGAACTTTTTCTTTTGTAATAAAAAGGTGATAGAAATAAGAAGGAAAACACTATTTAAAAGAGATAGGAAATCTATTAGGCAATCTTAGTCTAAAAGTCTAAAAATAGTCTAAAATATTCATGGAAAAATTTAGTTGTATAATATGAAATGCCTAATGTGACGAGCATAGTAAAAAAAATGACTTGTAGACATGTCAAAATAGCTTAGTCAAGAACTCCATTACACCCAAGACTGTACCCCAATAACCAGAACCTAGTGACATCACTTAATATAACCAGACACACAACTAGAACCCCACAACGCCCAGATGACAGTATATAAGCAGAGACCAAGAGCAATGCAGTGTTCTGTGCATCTTCAGGATGCTGGTGACACTGGAGAGATGCCATCTTGGTCTGTCCTATGATTGGAGAGTCTTCCCCAGGATCCTGACCCTCGAACCAGAGACCACAATGAGACAAGACCCAAATTTTCAGCTAAGATATATTGCATAGTGAGCAGCCTTGAGGAGGATAGTCAGGAACTTAGAATGTGAACTTTGTGTGACAAGCTTCAACATAATAAAATGTACCTTTTGTTAGACCAAATACAAGTACCTACTTTCTTGCTCGTGACACCTAAGTAAATGAGAGAAAGCTCTTCAATCAAAAGCCACAAGTCAAGTAATATTAAGCCTGCCCCCAGTTACATCACAGAATTAATACAGTTCTAATAAAAATCTCTTATGAATCCCTTAAGGAATTTTACCCCCCATTGAAACTTGTGGAGGTGACGCTAAATTTAAAGTAAAAATAAATAAATAAAAATCCCTAGTGTAACAGAGATAAGTCTATGAAAAATAAAAATGATTTGAATGACAAATCTTTTTTTTAAGTCTTTAGTAAGAGGGATGGGTATATTTACGTGAAAAAGATAATATATTACAGAATAAGTGAGATTCCACACACATTATTTAGACATTTTCTCAAAATTAAACTGTTGACTGAGAAAACTATCTACCAGAACCAGTGCTAAAATAGATGTCACTTAGCATATATATGGTAATAAGATTCAAAATTCCTGCCTATGTTTGAGTAGGAAAATGTTGGGAAGGTAACATAGGAGACTTTGACTTGAACTTATTGTTTAAAGTCTTGTCATGACATAAAGCCAGTCACACTGAACCTCATAGAAGAGAAAGTGGGAAGCACACTTGAACGCATTGACACAGGAGACCACTTCCTAAATATAACCTCAGTATCACTGACACTGAGAGAAACAATTAATAAATGGGACCTCCTGAAACTGAAAAGCTTCTGTAAAGCAAAGGATATGATCAACAAGACAAAATGACAGTCTACAGAATGGGAAAAGATCTTCATCAACCCCACATCAGACAGAGGGCTGATCTCCAAAATATACAAAGAACTCAAGAAATTGAGTTCAAAAAGAACAAATAATCCAATAAAAAAAAATGGAGTACAGACCTAAACAGAGAACTCTCAACAGAGGAATCTAAAATTGCTGAAAGACACTTAAGGAAATGTTCAACATCCTTAGTCATCAGAGAAATGTAAATCAAAACAACTCTGAGATTCCACCTTACACCTGTAAGAATGGCCAAGATCAAAAACACTGATTACAACTTATTCTGGAGAGGTTGTGGGGAAAAGGGAATACTCTTGCATTGTTGGTGTGAGTGCAAGCTGGTACAGCCCCTTTGGATGTCAGTATGTCGATTTCTTATAAAATAGGAAACAACTTACTTCAAGACCCAGCAATACCACTTTTGGGTATATATCCAAAGGATGCTCAATCGTGCCGCAAGGACATGTGCTCAACTATGTTCATAGCAGCTTTGTTTGTCATAGCCAGAACCTGGAAGCAACCTAAATGCCCCTCGGCTGAAGAATGGATGAGGAAAATGTACATTTACACAATGAAGTACTACACAGCAGAAAAAAATGATATCTTGAAATTTGCAGGCAAATGGATGGAGCTAGAAAACATCATTTTGAGTGAGGTAACTCAGACCCAGAAAGACAATTATCACATGCACTCACTCATAAGTGGTTTTTAAACATAAAGCAAAGAAAACCAGCAATTCCAGAGAAATTAGACAACAATGAGGACCCTCAGAGAGACATACATAGATCTAATCTACATGGGAAGTAGAAAAAGACAAGATCTCCTGAGTAAATTGAGAACAGGGGGACCATGGGGACCATGGGAGAGGACTGAAGGAGAGGGGAAAGGCAAAGAGGGGAGCAGAGAAAAATGTAGAGCTCAATAAAAATCAGTAAAAACATAAAATAAAGTCTTGTCCTGTTTTCCAGGGTGATCTCATATTAAACTTCTTCCTGCCTCAACCAACTACAGGAATCATGGGAACGCAATGCAACTCAATGAGGGCCATGCATATTTACCTCCAAATGACAAAGTTTGTAGCATTTATTTGTGGTGTGTGTTACTTCTGTCTTTCCCAAGCTTTTGAAACTTCAAAAGAGGTGAGGAAAAGGAGGGGGAAACCCAGACTCTAGGGGAGCTTTCCAATGAAAAGGATTCCTAGTAGCAGCTGGGAGAGCAGGAGTCCAGTCGGTCTTATCCCTGTTGCAGGGAAAACAATCCAGTTTCCTGTCTTCACGGACTGTGTGGAGAGAGGCAGTCCCCACCCTTCCCAGGCCTCTTACCGTGTTCAGCTCCGATTCCAAGCTGCAGTTTCTAATGTGCGGGAACACGTCATTGTACTTGCTTGGGTAGGTCGATGCCAGGTAGTCCTTCACCTCCTCCAGGTTGTTGACTGTCAGAAAGCCATCTTCAAGGTCAAAAGAATTGGTGAGCAGCAGAATCACCCTGCAGAACAGACCATCATCTTAACCTTCATGACTAAGGAGCTACTGGCCCTAACAGCTCTGAAAATCTCAGTGAGGAGAAGGAGTGGATTAATAACCCTGTGTAGGGAAGGGCAGCTATGAATGTCTGTGCAGAAGCTTCACATCTGATCAGAGATGAGGACAAGAACCGTGACCCTGCAGTGACATTGTTTAATATCTGGGCCAGTAATGTATGATGAAACCGGATGTGGTGGTAGAAATGTAACATTGTACTTTAATATGGCTTGTGCCACTGAGCAACCCATTAATTAACCTTAGAATCACTTAAATTCATATCAATATTCAAGTTATTTGAATATACATTGACTTGCATTAATTTCAGTCCTACTTTAGAGATGGCTACTTGTGTAAGTGGCCACCCTACTGGAATCTTAGCATCTGAAAGATGGTCCTCTGATTTGAGGGATGTTGAAGACAGTAAGTTGTAGTCTCTGGAACTTGACTAGAGAGGTCTTGGTTACACTTGAGATGGGTAATGGGGCTGAACAAACATTTTTTTTCTGAATGCCCCTTTCTGCTAAGTGCAATGACCACTTTAAACTGCCCATTCCCTGCAAGGCAGTTCTTAACTTTTGACCTCTCAGTTTCTGGTGCTGACAGAAGGCAGTAATTATGTAGTCAGAAAATAACTGAACCTCATACTGTAGACCTCAACACTGGTGTCTTTAGTCTACCCCTTGACTTCTGGGAACCCAGTCCTTCCCAGTCACCCTTCCAGCTCAGAGATTTGGAGTATTGCCTTCCCTCTTGAGGCCCAAGGTGATGAGTGACAACTTGGACTCACCTGTTTAAGCAGTTTTCATAGTTGAAGGTGGCCTTGAAGCCATAGATGGAGAAGGTCACGATGCTGGCAAATATGGCGGTGGTACTAGTGACGATGGACACAATGACGGCATGCTTCTGGCAGTTGGTGGAGGGTTCGTTGTAGCTGGCAAAGGCAATCAGGCCACCACACCCCAAGCCCAGGGAGAAGAAGATCTGTGTAGCTGCATTGATCCAGGTCTTGGGGTTGATTAGTTGTTCCATCTAGAAGGTCAATAAGTATAAGACTGAGGAATCCCAGGCTCAATTCATGACTGCCCCTCCCAGGGGAAGCAGGCCCAAAGGCAGGTGGGGGGGGATTACCTCCCAACTTCCCAAGCTATCTAGACCTGTTCTATGTGCAGTCTATTTCTCAGCAGGTGAACATCACTGAACGTTAGGTAACATTATCCAACTGTCCCAAGGGAATTTAAGAGTAAAGAAAGCACTGTTAATCATAGTCAAAGAACTATTAATGTATGTTTAAATCACTGTTAATGTTAGTGAGAAGCTCTTACCGTAGGTACTCTTTAATGTCTACTATTTGCTTAAATAAGCTAGTACGTTAAGAAACAAGAGTGATCTAACCCCTGATTTAAAAGACAGTAGGACATTCCCAGAGTCCACTCTCTTCAGTAGAGAACCAGCCAGCAAACCATCCCGATTGCCCTCATGCTAGCTCACCTGCTGCGTACACTCTAAGGAAGTTTTGAGGAAATTATACTGCGTCAAAATTATTTGCAGCCAATCCTATCACTAATCTAGACGGCACTGTTTAAGCCTTGACTATTTCAGCTTCCAAAGAACAGTCTTCCATCATGACCTTGGCTAAATTCTAACAGCCATTTTCATCTATGCCAGAGGGAAAATATTTCCCTGTTAGTCAAGAAGGAAGTCAATATTTCCCTGTTGGGGCTGGAGAGATGGCTCAGCAGTTAAGAGCATTGGCCGCTCTTCCAGAGGACCTGTGTTCAATTCCCAGAACCCACATCGAAGTTTCAGGGGATACAACAGCCTCACACAGACACACATGCAGGGGAAACACCAATGCACATAAAATCCAGATTAATCATTTAAAGAAAGTTTATTCCTTTTTGAGGGGAGACAGCCTGTGATTGGTGCAAACACAGTACTTGAGTTGCACAATACTATCACGATGGATGCAAACACCTATTCTTTCTCTCACTGTATAAGCAGGTGTTTGGCTCAATTTCCGAGTTAGCTATGTTGCTCTCTGGTTTTGTAGCATTAGACCTCATAAAAGTCTCCTCTTTTTAATGAAGTGTTCTTGCCTATTGTTGTATAGATATTTCTTCCCAATGAAACATTTCTTCCTGGAGGGTGGCTTGTTAAGATTCAGGAAGTTAGCTGGGCAGTGGTGGTGCACACCTTTAGTCCCAGCACTTAGGAGGCAGAGGCAGGTGGACCCCTGTGAGTTCAAGGCCAGCCTGGTCTATAGAGTGAGTTCCAGGACATCCATGGCTAAACAGAGAAACCCTGTATCAAAAAAAAAAAAGATTCAGGAAGTTAATGAAACTGACAGGTTTCAAGAGTCACCTAAAATTTACCAGATTCATAAGGCCACACCCCAAGATTATTTAAGTGGGACCAGCTGTTGTAGAGAAGAGACAAGTAATACAGGATGTTCTGGGAATTTAGCTTTTATGCATCATTGCCTGTGTTAGGGTGGGCTTTTCTGTGATACAACTGCTTTTGAATCATCCATGCCCCTGTAAGTAAACTCTAATAAACTCTTTGGTTCACTAAGCTAGGCTTGGACAAACTTGTTTCTTTGGTCTATTGTTGGTCCCCTATCTAGGAGAAACAGCATTCGTTCAGTTTTTCCTGAAAAGGTCGTACAACATCTTCTTTTCTCCATCATTATTAGAGTAGGTTGGAGGGAAAACAGGAAGAAGAGATTGTGGAAGTGACAGGACTGTCAGAGGGAAAGGTGACAACATCGTCATCATCATCACCACTGTCATTAAAGCAGCAGCAATGACAGGCCAGCTGAAGAGTTCCAAGGAGAGTAGGAGTTGGAAACAGAGGTCCTTTTTTCCCTTTTCTTTTTATTTTCGTTTGAGACAGGATTTCTCTGTGTAGCCCTGGTTGTCCTGGAACTCGTTCTTCTGTAGACACCAGGCTGGCCTTGAACTCAGATCCGCCTGCTTCTGCCTGGGATTAAAGATGTGCACTACCCCTGCCCTGCTAATAGCAGAAATCTTAAAGACAGCAAAGACTTTGAAGAGTTGAAGACTAAAGATTGCTTCTGTTGCTGGATAAATTCCAAAACCCCACAAAGCTAGGGGCTAAGGGTTTAAGATGCCCCAGACAGGCATGAGAGCTGTCACACTAAGGGGGTCCATAGAAAGGTTTTACAGACATTTGTTTCCAGGCACCAAATTGGTTAAATGAATAATGTGTCTGATTTTCCACTGAAGAACACTGGCCTGGAAAGAAAAGGTTAAGGGAGGAATCACTGCAACCTGCAGGGAAAGGGACTAAGGATGCATGGGGCAGATCAGGGAAATGCCTGGAGTGGCATCTGTGGTATCAGATCAGTAGAGCATATAGACAAGGATTTGGGCGAGACCTGGAGCAGGCAGGCAGGACAGGAGGGAGGAACTGGCACCAGCCATTAGGGGTAGTAAATGTGTAGGAGGGAATGGATTTAATGCTCTAGAGTGCACAGGGCTGAGAATGACCTGTCTGAGGATTGGTCCATGGCCATAAGGTATCCACGACGATTGGCCCAGCCTCCTTGGTTACTTACAACTTTTCCTTCCTTGTACTATGATTTTTTTTCCCTAGGCATACCAAAACGTACCAAAATGGGTTGCTATAAGCAGAGACTGCACTTTCATTTCCTGGCCTCCCAGACCAGAATAATCACACAGAAACTATATTAATTACAAAACTGTTTGGCCAATGGCTCAGGCACATTCCTAGTTAGCACTTACATCTTAAATTAACCCATTCTTATTAATCTATGTATCACCATGAGGCTGTGGCTTACTGGTAATGTTCTGACATTTTTCTCCTTTGGCAGGTACATGATGTCTTGACTCTGCCTACTCTCTCTATATATCCCTGTTTAGATTTCCAGCCTGGCTTTACTCTGCTAAGCCATTGGTCAAAACAACTTTATTAATCAACCAATAAAAGCAACACATATACAGAAGGACATCTCACATCAGGTAGCAACACCGTCAGAACTTCTCCCCATACCTTGGGTGTGAACATGTATATCAGGCCATTGGTGGCTCCGTGGAGTGTGAGGCCCTGAATCAGGTATATGATGAGCACAAAGTAGGGCATTGATGAAGTGAAATAGACCACCTGTGGGAACCCAGTAGAGGAGTCAATCTCAATTTGTCAGAAGTAGTTATGCAACAGTATGCAAAAAATTTTCTCAAAATTATCAATATATATATATATCATTTAAATGAAGAAACTGTTTTTACAGAATGCTTAATTTAAAACATATGAAATTAAATCAATATAAATGCTGTGAGCTCTTAAGGATTAATCAATAAAAGAAAACCTCACTCAAGGGAAGTGTTTTTTGAAGCTTAGTGCTGCCCTACCAGAGAACAGCACTGTGAGTGGAGGGTTCTCTCCCGCCAGCCAGTTCCTGAATAAACACGCAGAAGATTAATATCAATTACAAACTGTTTGGTCTTTTATCTCAGACTTACTATTAATTAGTTCTTACATCTTAAATTAACCCGTTTCTATTACTCTACCTATTGTCACGTGGGCGTGGCATCAGTTCACATCTTGCTTCTCGGGCAGCTATTGGCATCTCTCAGACTCTGCCTTCTTGCTCCTTGTATCTTTGCTTGGATTTCTTGCCTGGCTCTATTCTGCCTGGCTATTGGTCAGATCAGCTTCTTTATTAATCAATGGTAATAAAACATATCCACAGCATAGAGAGAGGCACATATCACAGCACACTAACATGGAAATAGAGCAAAGCACCTGCTTACATCACCTGGAAGATGGATCATAGCATAGTCTTTGGGTCAAATGCTTTAGGAGTTTGCCCACAGCTGGTAACATCTGGAATAAGCACTGAAATTATTTTACAGGGTCTGAAAGTTTTCAGGACAGGTTTATCAACTCTAATATGAAAGTAAATAAAGCCAGGAGGCTATGAAGAACAATTTTTAGGTATGACTGCTTGATTGTCACTGTCAGAAATGATACCAGAAACAAAAAGGACCCAGAAACTTGTCAAGTTGGTCTGCCTAGTAACTATGTTCATCTGGGATTAGGGTGTCCCTTGTTAGTCCTTGTGCTCAGGGGCTCTAGTCTCAAAGCATCTTGGATAACCCTCCCCATATTTGCCTTTAAAAATTCCCCCTCAGCCTCTGTGAAAAATCCTTAGTTTACTATGGCATCCGTTTCTCCAAGGCTCTCAGTAAATACTATAGTTTATTGTGGCACCATGCTTGTTTCTTCTGTGCTATAATAAATCATTTTAAACAAAAGCAACTTAGGAGAGGAAAGGGTTTATTCAGCTGATGCTTCTAGGTCATGGTGCAACACTGAAGAAAGTTAGGGCAGGAACACAAGAAGGAATTTGAAACAGAAGTCAATAAGAACTATTGTTGGATGGTTTGTTCATAGGACCATGCGTAGCTAGTTTTCTTTGTTATTATACCTATTTTTATTGTTTTTATTGAGATATACATTTTTCTCCATTCCCCATTTTCCTCCCCTGCCCCTTCTACCCTCTTCTGTGATCCCCAAGCTCCAATTTACTCAGGAGATCTTGTCTTTTCCTCCTTCCTATGTACATCCATGTATCTCTCTTAGGGTCCTCTTTGTTGTCTAGGTTCTCTGGGGGTTTTGGTTTGTAGGCTGGTTTTTCCTTGCTTTATGTCTAAAAGCTACTTATGAGTGAGTACTTATTTGTCTTTCTGGGTCTAGGTTGCCTCACTCAATATAGTTTTTTCAAGATCCATCCATTTGCCTGCAAATTTCAAGATGTCATTTTTTTTTTTACTGCTGTGTAGTACTCCACTGTGTAAATGTACCACATTTTCTTTGTAATTGGGACTATCTACCCAGGGAATGGTGCCATCCACAGTGAATTGGGCCCCTTAACATCAGATAATAAGGCCATCATCAGCTTGTTGGCATAATGTTGTATAGAGATTTTGGACACTGGCATGTTTATAAATTGATGATAAAATAATCAAGTGAATATAATTGATTCAAAATGAACATAATAATCAAAAAAATCCCCTATAGACATGCCCAAAGCCAGTCTGATCTGGAAAACCCTTCAACTGTGATTCCCTTTTTAGGTGACTCTGGGCTGTGTCAAGTTGACAGTTCAAGCTAACTAGGAGAAGCACTTTTCTCTCTAGCCCTCTGTGAATACTTGCAGAACTCACTATGGCACCCATCTGTCCATGGCCAAATCCATCCAGGCACAGCCCAGTGAGGCTCCCCAGCCCACCTTGCCAGTTGACTCGGTGCCTCTCAGGATGCACAGATACACCATCAGCCAGGCCAGGGTGAGGCACAGTGCTGGCCCCCACTGCACTCCTCCGTTCTCCTGAATGGACGGCGAAATGTTGAGTGTTTTCCTGTACCAGAAGTACTGAGTTGATGAAGCCCTTTCACACTCCTCGTCATAGCCTGTGCGGTTACCATTCAGTGGGCAGACAGACCACGGCAGGGGATCCTTTGGAATGAAGCGAGAATCAACAGAGAGGTAAGGGGAAGGTCGAGGGTTTGGTGGGATGATGGTATACAGCCTTGGTAGAATGATCTTGGGAGAGAAGAAGCTGGTCCCTCAAGGGTAAATGGCTGCAGCCTTTGAGACTGATAAGGACTTGGGTCTTCAGGGGTAACGGATGGCATGGAGGATGATTGGTTTGGTTTGGACGTTGAGCATTCCCCAAAGATCCACACCCAGAAGCTGTGATCCCTTGGATGAGGAGGTGCTGTGGATCTTTAGGAGATGGGGCCAAGTAAGAAGTCATTGGGGTGGACACTCTAAGGAGCTAAGGGGAATCTTGTCTCTTGTTGTCTATTCAGGTTTCATTATCACTGTTTCCTCCTATATGTATTTAGGACATGATGTTCTGCTAAATTTCATTTTTTGCTAGAGGCCAAGTTATGAATTAATCTTTCCTCTTTCTAAGTTAGTGACTAGGATATCTTGATCTAGTAAAGCTGACAAGAGTTGCTTCTTACTGAAATTTTACATGTGCTTTTTGAGGACTACCGCACTCTCTAATGGGTCTAGAAGACTCTGTTACTAGCATCTGCATTGTGACAGACCAACTACAATAAAAGGACACTGACCCAGCATCACTACAGCAGCCAAACTAGGTTTTTAAACTCCAAGCTTTTGTACCACTGCTGGGATGGTCAGAACTTGTTAATGATGGGGCTGGAGAGAAGGCTCAGCAGTTAGGAACACTGGCTGTCTTCCAGATGACCTAGGTTCAATTTCCAGAACTCACATAGCACCCACACAATACTAACGACCATTTATTACCCCAGTTTCAGGAGATCTAATGCCATTTTCTGACCTCCACAGGTACTATACTGATGTAGTACATAGATATAGATGCAAATAAACACCCATAGACAAAAATTTTTAACTAAAAAATACTTGTCAGTGACTCATGGTTTCTCTCCTTTCCCTCAACTTGGAGCAAACCAGAGAAAGCAACAGTTAAACAGTTAGCTCAGTTCCAACTTCCCTAAGCCAACTCATCATTAGGACACCCTTAAGAGTACAGACAGATGCTTCATCCCATGGGTGTGGAACAAGAAGGAGGAGAAGTCCAGTGCCTTGAAGGTATTGAGTCCCTTGAGTGAGAGACCCTGGCACTAGTGACCTCCTTTGAGCAGTAATTAGCAGGACCCGAGCTAGGCAGTTAAGACTCCTTGACCTTGTAGGGTGGGAACAATGAAACCCTTTTCTGCTTTCGATTGTTTTAACTGGTTTCTTTGGCACTTACAAACAAATGAACTTAAATGTTGTCAATGATTATAATCTAAAGCCAACTGCTCAAAGAGGTAATATTGGGAACTGAGGGAAAGAAATAAATCTGATCAGAGTTGTAGGTGTGTGGGAGTAAGCCTTCTCTAAGGTAAGTACCTTGTTGCCCAGGTCTGGGTTCTATGAGGTCAGATTTATAGGACAAAAGTGTTCCACTAATAGAAACAAATAGAGAAAACTCTTGTTTCAAGGCCACATTTCACAGGACGTAGCTCAGGGCCCAGTGGCGTTATTAGTGATAGATGGTAGCAATGCTACTCTACGAAACAGCAGGAGCCAGGTCTGTACTCTAGGGTACTCATCCCCTGAGATCCTAGCTTCCGGCGGGTCTTGCTAGTGGATGTGAGAGCTGTTTTGCAGGTCTTATCTGGATGTTCCCACAGACAGCTACCAACTGTCCCCATCTCCTTTGCTTTTAGAGTGGTTTCTCTCCCTTTAGTGTGGTACATCAGAATCAGAAGTTCTATGAATGATTGAAGGGAAGTACGCCTTCCCCTCAGGCTCCCTTCGGGTTATAACCCACAGACTCCTCCATTCTTCTTGGAGGGGAGGCCTATATCCTCTCCCCTTATTGTTCCTGGTGTGACTGAGCCTCTGCTCACCTGGAAGGAGTGGAAGAGGTACCAGATAGTCCAGGTGTTGATGACATTGTAATACACAGAGACCAAGAAGGAGACCACCAAGCTAGCAATGCCTGAAAGGAATAAGAAGGCTGTACTGAGAACCAGGTATGGTAGCCTGACCTATAAGCATCCCTAGGAGAGACATGATGGGACCACCCTGGGCAGGAATACTTCCCCTCCATGTTTTTTTCTTAACATGACCTCACATTTACGACCTGATTCAGAGGCTTCTTCCCACAACTTCTCATACATTTTAAACATCTAAGGCCCTGAACTCCATGCTCAATATGTGTCTTAGGCAGTGTTCTACTGCTGTAAAGAGGTCCTGGCCATGGCAGCTCTTATAAAAGAAAGCATTTAATTGTGGCTTGCCTACAGTTTCATTATTGTCATGGGAGGAAGCAGGGGGCACACAGGCAGACATGGTAGCTGCCTGGGAGCTGAGAGTTCTACCTCTGGATCTGAAGGCAGCAGGAGAAGAGAGACACTGGGGATGACTTGGGCTTCTGAAACCCTAAAGTCCACCCCCCACTGACACACTTCTTCCAACACCTCCTAATTCTTTCAAATAGTGGCCGCTATGCATCTATAGGGGCCATTTTTATTCAAACCACCACAATGTGTCTTAGATTTTCACAACAGTAGTATTCCTATTTCACAGAAGAGAAAACTGAGATGAAGACCACTGAGCAGAACCAGGATACAAACCTCATTAAAAAGGTCACCCATGGGCCTGATATGACAACTATTCTCTAGACTAGGACACTGGGGCCAAACACATCCCTCTGTTATTAGGAGAGATGGAGAAGATAAATAATCAAGTGATTGATCCTTTCTTTGTAACCACAAAATGCAACCTTCCAGTAAAAGAACTGGCTGAGAAAAATATCTTACTTGCTTATATACTGTTAATCTATAACAAGTTGCTTGGACATGAATGTATATGGGTTCTTGGAGATAACTTTTCATCTGTAATACATAAAATGTTTAATTATGTGAGGGCTATTAAAAAGATGTTATTTTTTACTTGTATTCATTGTGATCATTCACTTTAAAATAGAATGTAACCACATTGTAATTTATATATTGCTTGAAAGATACTACTAGGGTATATAAGCTATTAGGGAAAATAAAGACACAGAAGGGATACATCTAGATAGAGGTAAAAAAAATAAGGAAAACAGAGATGACAGAGACCCTAAAGGTGTGTAGGTGTGTGGGTGTGTGTGTAAGCATGCACACACGCATTTCCCTTCTTTGCCAGCCACAGAGGGTTAAGTTTTACCCCGCTTGCCAGCCCCAGAGAATTAAGTTTTACTCCCGTAGATAGAAAAGTCAAACTGAGTGATTAGTCTGCTGATTCCATAGCTCCCTTCCAGCTCCTGAGCAGCTGAAGGCTAGTTCCCACAGTAGCTCTCAGGACTGTTGCTGACCTTGGTCCTGGTGGGAATATATGGTTCCCACCACCACCACAGGGAAATCTGGCCGGTAAGTGGTGTCAGTGCTCCTTGGGGACTCAGTTGCTTGCTTCCCTATTATACAGAGCTGACCCCTCCTCTCTCCGGAACAACTGCCCCCCTTTCTGGATTGGAAAGGTACCCAGAATAACTGTGGCCATTGATGGCCCTGGAACCTGGGCTTTTACAGAAGAGGTGAACATGTCTTGGAGATACCAGAGGATAGCAAGTGGAGGTCACTTTGAAAAGCTATGGGTGGGATGTGAAGCCACCCAGTGTGCATAGGTTCCTTGACTTCCAAACTTCGGCAAAATTTATGGTGCCCCTAAGTGGTGTGGTAAAGATGAATAAGCTCACACAGTCATGCCATTTTCAGTAAGCAGAGACAGTTGTGTACATTCCCAGGTGGTAGGGGCTGGGACTGAATGAATGCTTCTGTGCCAGGCAGCCAAGTTCAGTCAGAGTAGAGATGCCCCAAGGTGAGAGTTTCCGTCGGGGGTGGGGTTCCACATGAGGGTCAGAATCCAGGGCCCTCTCTACCCAAGTTCAATGGTAGCCCTCCCTGGGCTGTCAGTTCACGCAACCACAGGTCCTGCTCATCGACAGCAACCTGCACGCCTGTCATACCCAGGAACACACCAGTCTCTGTCAGAGGAACTGAAAAGGATCCCACATACCGACACCACTGAGGTAGGGGCTGATGGTCCTCCAGGCACCGATGCTGCCCTGCCGCATGCGCTGCCCCACAGCCAGCTCCAGGTACAAGAGTGGCATCCCCTCTACGATGAACATGATGATGTAGGGGACCAGGAAACTCCCTGTGAGAGTACAGAGCTGAGCATTAGGTCAGCGTGAGAGAAGGAATTTACCCTACCCCTCTCTCCATGCAAGTGTGCTTCTATCACCCAGCCTTTCCCCATCCAGTCCTCTTTCCACCCCAGCCTCACCCTCAGACCTTTCCCCTCAAAACCTAGTTCTTCTTCCTTTGTATCTTTTACCTCCACGTTCATCCCTGCCACCCCTCTGATCTATCTTCTGTTGGTTGTACCAATCCAACCTTTCATTCATCAATCCACCCATCCATGTCTCTCCATTTTCCTGTTCACTTTCCATGCATTTTTCTGTTCGCCTATCCATGGATGACAGGCAGCCATGTTAGTTATTTAAATCTTTGACTACTTTCATCCTGGGAGGCAAACTGCCACTGGCCCCAGCTCCTTGAGCGTCATTCTCCATGGCTCTGCTGGACCAACTTCTGCCAGCAAAACTTTTAACCTCCTTTCTGAAAAGTGTGTTGGGGAGACTGGGAGGTCAGAGGACAACTTTGGAAGTTGGTTTTCTCCTTCCACCTTCATGTGGCTTCTGGAGATTGAACGCAGGTCACCAGGCTTGTGTGGTAGATAAGTATGTTTATCCACAGGGTCATCTCACTAACCCCTATCTTCTCTTTCAACATTTAAGGGCTGTTGAAAGGCTAGACCAATAAAAGTTGCTAAATACTTCTAACTTTGCTCCTGAGTGTTTGTCTTCCTACAGCTTTGATGGAGTCTATGTGACCATACCTTTTCTAAGGTCTGATCATACAGGGTCTGTGGGTGGGGTGGAAAACTCAGCAAACTTGCTTCCTTCCCTGAAGGGTTCACCTAGGTAGAGGATTTCGGATGCTTTAGAGTTGCCTGGGTTATAGAATGTTCCTTCAGACTTGATATTTTCAGAGGGTTTAGTGGCCTAGCAAATACAGGGGCAGGTAAATTAGTTGGATCACCCAGTACACAGAACTTCATACCACATCCTCCTTTTAAAGAGATCTCTGTATATCTATTTTAAGCATGTACCTTCAGTCTTAAATTTCATTTTGCTAACGGTGACTTAAAAAAACCTTTCAAATCCACAAATTCTTAAGGAGTGGTCTGTGAAAGGAGCTGTAAACACCCTCCCACTGCCAGATAAATGTACAGAGGCAGCAGGGACACAAGATTGCCCATCAAGTCAGGGGCATGGAGGCATGACCCAAGACTGCTTTGGCATCTTCTCTCATCCACCCAGTTCATGGTTCCTTGGATGGGACCTGAGAAACTCCAATGGGAGAAAGGCATACAAAAGCCAAAGCCTGACACAGCAGTAGCAGGGATTGAGGGTGGCTTCTAGAGGGAACTGACTCCTTGGCATTAAGGGAAACAGACGCATAGGCACACACAAACCCTAATAATCATAAAATGCACCCCTGGCACATAGAGGCTGCCTGTGTAACAGTGGTGTTGGGGTCATCTATGGGACTACAGAGCAAGAACTGAACTTCCATGAAGAAGACCCAACTGCAAAGAAAGGGAATAGCTTTAATGCTTTAGTTGGGTGGGGCCCTAAGACCAGTAGTCCTCTTAATTTGTGTGGTTTACAGGGTTCCTGAGTCCTTCCGCTTTCTCCCCCAGGTCCTGTTTTGATACCTGCCCTCATACCTTCCTGTCATTCCTTCCCGCAATGTGTTCTGGGAGCAAGAAGCTGCCATATTAGGAAACCCGCTTCCCCTACAATTTTTTTACCTATGCTGCTCTAACTTTCCTTCAGTGATCCCCGAGTCCCACTCAGAGGTCGATACCAACAGCTGTCAGGGCAAGGGGCTACAATAGCTCTAGCTGCTTCTTGTTGAGAGAGGCAGGGTCTGGGCTGGGCTAGTCTGAGAGAGGTGGACTCTTACAAGGCAGGCTCTTGGGGCCTGTCCAGTGGGTTGCAGCCCCACATCTTCAAATATAACCTGAGGTCATCCAATGGGTCCATTCAGGGCTCCAGTTCCAGCTTTCAGGAGACTCTATGTTCCCTTTGTGATGGCTAAACTTGATTGCTGACATTGATTATACATGGGATCAACTACAGCACAAAGAACTGGGCACCGCGGTGGGGAATTCTCTTGGATCATTTGAGATGGGAAGACTTACCCTAAGTCAAAGTCATACCTTCTGGTTTTGGCAGTTTCCCTAAAAGGATATGGAAGGAGGAAGCTTGCTACCATGTTCTGATGATGAGGCTTTCTTTTGATGGTATTAGAAACTACTTCTTCAGGTTCTAACAGACTGAAACATCCAGACTTGTGGACTGAAAAACTACAGGATTTTCGGCTCCCCCCTCTAAAGAAGATAGCTATTGTTGGACTATCTGATGATAGCCTATAAACTAGTATAATAATTCACACTATTATTTCTGTCTTTTTAGAGAACTCTAATAGACCCTTATAGATAAGAAGTTGAGTTGGGACTCAGATCCCTGAGTATCTCTTCAAATGAACCACAGAATAACAGACAAAGAACAAACACTCTGATTAGACATACCTTTTTCTTAAGTCAGGCCTTATAATTGCCATGGAGCATAGACCAGTAACTCTATTTCTTTAAGCCTAGGTTCAACATTGGTGTATTGAACTGTGGCCTCTTATATACCTTATATAATCTGTCAGACATTTGTAACATGATTAAGCCTTCTTGTTTTCTTTTCCCTTCTAGAAAAATATCCAGCCATCTTATAAGACAACAGATCAACAGCCACCAAATCTAGGTGTGGCAATCTTTTGCAAGTAGGACCAGCTGAGGTCATGAAGGTGGCAGGGTTTTGGCTTGGAAGATAGTATTATATAACATCACCTTAAGAAAGTTGAACCCAAACTACATATATATTACTTGTATATATACTGTTAAACAACAGGGGTTGGTAAATTCCCAGGTAAAGCTTACAAAAACAAACAAAAAAAACAAGACAAAAAAAAAACCACAAGACAGTCTTTGTACAGTACATGGTGATCTGCCATGACAACACTTTTGATTTTAATGAGCATAAGCAGCTCATATACCATGAAACAATGTCTTTAATCTCTTGTTCTTTCCCCTTGTCACAGTGTGACATTGGTATCCTAACAAGAAAAGGAGCTTTGGAGGATATTTTGAGGCAAACATGGTTGAGTCTGAAGTAGAAGGGCCAAATTCCACCTCTAGAGTCAGTTTCTCAGGGTGCTCAAAACAGCACATGACAATTTACACAAAAGGCATTTGCTCCTCTGTAAAACCAAACCCAGTGGCTTACAATGGACAGGAGAGCTGCTGTTGAATTTAGTGACCAAAGTACCTGTTTTTCTTATAACCAGCAGAGAATTATCCAGGTAAGTCTCACTCACTGGGTCATACACTGGGAACAAGGGATTGAAAAAAAAAGCTATCCTTTTAGAGTTAATAAATTTTGTAAAGCCATGGGTGAGTGGCAGTGAGCAAGGAAGTTATCTGCCTCTCTAATGTCTAACTGAAGGCCTTCTCCATCTAGACTTGGGGTGACCAACAGTTTGGAAGACTCTCCCCACAATCAGTTTGCATGAGACTGAAAATGGAGGCAGACGATAACTCAACAGCTTGTGCCGAAGAAAAGGTTCTGCAGACATAGGTGGCCGGCAGCCTCCTACAGCCTCCTGCAAGGGAAACACCCTGTCTTAGTTAATACTCGGGACACAGCTCTTGACCAAAACCAACAAAAGAAATGTTTGTTTTAATGTCTAATTAAGTTCACTGTTTGAAGAGGCAGCTGAGTAGTGACTTTGGAAGAATCTTGGAAATAGTTTGTCTCATTTACAGTGAGATGAAAGAAAAAAAGAGATGTCTTGGGTCAGTATTGCCCCTTTTCTACCCACATTCCCTAGCCCATCTTGATGGACTGTTGTGGGATATTTTTCCCTTTTTGCTTTTTGAGGGGTCCACCACCTGGCTCTCAAATAAATCACACACAGAGGCTTATTCTTAGTTATGAATGTCTGGCCATAGGTTGGATTGTTTCTAGGGAGCTTTTCTTGTCTTAAATTATCCCCACTTCCTTCTTGCCTCTGGGATTTTATCTTTCTTACTTCTGTATGTCTTATTGTCCTTCTCACTCCATGGCTGGCTGACTGAGTGGTTGACCCCTAGTTTCTTCCCCTCTTTCTCTTGCTCCTCCTCTTTGGTTCTCCTATTTATAATCTCTGCTTGCTAGCCCTGCCCATCTTTGCTCCTGCCTCACTATTGGCCGTTCATCTCTTTATTAGGACAATCAGGTGTTTTAGATAGGCACAGTAACACAGCTTCACAGAGTTAAACAAATTCAGCACACAAAAGCCACACACCTGAAAATCATATTCCCCAACAATGGTCATCTCCAGCTTGTCAACAATCAGCAGCCAGTGTAGTCCCAGGAAGAGGCTGAGTACCTAACTGTGGTTCAGTTCTCTGCCATCTCCCAGTTTCCCCCCTTTAGTTTTCTTAGTGCAATACTGCTGTCTTGTCCCTGGACACAGGGAGTCAGGTCCAAGGGCCCTAGAGCTCCATTTGTACCCAAGGCATTTAATACCATCATTCATCAAACACTTGATTTGGTCAGGCAGTGCTGTGTACACCTTAATCCCAGCACTTGGGAGGCAGAGGCAGGTGGATCTCTGTGAGTTCAAGGCCAACCTGGTCTACAATGCAAGGTCCAGAACAGCCAGGGCTATACAGAGAAACCCTGTCCCCCAAAACAAAAACAAACAAAAAACCCCCCACTGATTGCCATGTAAACCATCTGTCTATGTAAACTTTATCTATGTAAACCACACAAGCTCTGGAAGAGGTGCTGGAAGCCATCTTGTCTGAATCCATTTAGCACATGCTATGTGACAGGGACTTCTCTGCTCCAGCCTTATATGATCACAAAATACACAATTATTGCCTGTGATCAGTAACTGACATAAGTTCACAGAGCCAGAGAAATAGATGCAAAAGGAGACAGATCGGTTCCATCCCATTAGTCAACTGTCACACGTGTTATGCAGGTGTAAATGGACAAGACTCTATTAGGAAGAGCCTGGGAGCCAAGATTCATAGTGGATAGCTTCGAAGAAGCCCAGTGCTTTAGGATCTATCTCCTTTTGGGGATACATCAATTCAGAAATTCTCTAACATTCATTTGCATAAATCTCAGAAAAACGTTTAGAATTTCCAGTCCATTATCAGCCTTGGCTGACAAGCCTAACAAGTGGACATTTGTAGGATACTCTTGGACACTGGGTAACAATATCTTTCGACTTCTGAAGATCCCCTGACCATAGCAACCATGCCCAACTAAGAACCCAGTGGAGAAATAGAACTATACCCTGCTACCATGGGAACCAAGAAGCTAGGGGGAGAATCACCTTAGGTGCTCAGAACACTGCAGTCTGCCTTCAGAGCCCCAGATCTTAACCCCTTGTTCTCCTGACTCCACTGCAGTGAATGGTTTCAGATACACCTAATGTACCCCTCTGTTGCTTCTGGGAGCACCCTGAAGGTGCTTTCTTTATTGACCACACTTGGAAGACATTGTGACATGCTAGGAAACACAGGAACCTGGAAATGGCCTCTTAAACTTCACCCAGCAAGAAACCAGTCCACATAGCTCTAAAACCCACATAGGATCTGCTCATAGCTGTGGAGACTTGCTACACTTTTGGTTTATATGTCTCATATTTCCCATTACAGGGTTTTAAAAATCCTATCAAGTGTTCCTTACTTAAGGTCAGTGGATAAAAGAGATCCAAATGGGTTCATGACACAGTCTAGGGAGCACACAGCCTGTGCCACGTGTAAAATAAAAGAGACATGGGAAGGCCCTGCCGAGCTGATGTGTCTCCTGAGCCAGGGCAGTTTCTCTGTGTAATCCTGAGTTTTTGGAAAATCACTCTGTAGAACAAGCTGACCTCAAACTCAAGAGATCTGCTGCCCCTGCCTCCCGAGTGCTGGGATCACCCTAAGTGCTAGGACTAAAAGTGTGCACCACTATGCCTGGCATATTATTTGTTCTTAAAATTGATTCTTTAATATCTTGGGATCTTAATGAATTCCTAATCTTAAAAGATCCAACATTCAAAACGACCTAAAGTAAATATTCCTTTTGGTCTATTTTCCCCCTTCAAATTAATAATCTGTAAGCAAACACCCTAAGTACTCAAAACAAATAATTTACCATATGTACCCATAATAAGAGAATATGGGATATTTTCCCATTTGTCACACAACTGGAGAGTAAAAAAAAAATGTGGGTGTGCCCATAGCACAGTGGAGCAGGCAACAAGGAGAAGATATTCTACATCAAACTGAGGAGAACCGGGGTTGGAAATGCCAGGCAGAGCAGCATTAATTCCCGGTGAAGCCTTCAGCTACAGCCTCCGAACCCAAGCAGGCTGATCTTTCTTTGCCCACAGCTGTCAACGGTAGCAGCTTGTTTATCACCTGGCCCTGGGCTGCTGAAAATTCACATGAACTTCCCAGGTCTGGTAATCTTAGTGATAGAGGCTCATGATAACAAAACAAAACAAAAACCTCTCCTTTAGCTCCAAGGATTGATAGTTACTGCGCTGGGAGTAGAAGTTTGGACGTCATGACATTTAAGCAAGATTTCAGTAGCTCTACCCACAGCCGCCAGCTAAATGCTCTTGCCACTTTGTTCCCCACCCAGCAGCTTGGGGATGTCCACAGCCCAGTGTCTTTTGTAAGGCCAGCAGAGGGCTTTACTCATACACCAGGGACATGCGGGAGCTGGGCTAAGGAAGGGGCATGTGTGTGGAGGGGGTCATTTGTTCCACCACCCCAGCAGTAGCTATGTGAGTTCTGGGAAAACAGCTAAAGCACCTTGGGGCACCAGCACCCAGTAAAGATTTCCTACACAGCGACAGAACTTGCCCTGCTAGCTCATTCACCGGCTCCATTTGAATTTCGGGTACTGCCCACCTCGAACTCAAAAGCAAGCTTGGTATCAACTTTCTTTCCTCTGCACTGGAAAACGTCAGGTCTAGTTCAGGTTTTGCCTGTGTGCTAGAACAGCCCAAGAAAGAGGTAAAAGCTGAGCAAAGCTTCCCTACCCAAGACAGTCTACTTCCAGGTGCCTACACTTAGCTATTCACAGCTCACAAGCCCTGGATGGGCTAAGGAAGCCACCAAGAAGAGGGGTAGGGAAATCTACTCCCTCCTACCCTTCCTCCTCTGGAAGATACTTGGTTCCTCAGAGTCCAATGTCTCTTGGCTTAGTTGTGGTTTAACTCTCTACCCTAATTATCATATGGAGAGCCAAATGAAATCATTACCTTGCACTATCAGAAAGTCCTACTTTTCTTCCTCCCTTTCTGAGCTGTCTGCTCACCGTGTTAGTTGTGGTTGAAAGGTTCCTTCCCTTGAGTGCCAGAACAGTCATGGACACTTTCAAGTCCTTCTCCGCAATTTTGAGTCAGGTATGTGACCCTACGGAGGGGTCTTCTCACATCATTGGTGAGAGACGCCAAGAAATGTAACAGGGATGCTGACAGACATCTAGGATATCATGAAGCTCAATTCCCAGGGACAGAAAACAGCGGCAGGGAAGCGGAAAGCAAGTTTTACCTCTTTGGGATGGGCGTGGCCCCCAAGGCTGTCAATCATCTCTTACTTGGTATTTGATAGGCTATCTGGGATCCTCCCTTTCCCCCTGTTGGTATTGTTTAGATGTCTCCTCCCCACACCGTGCCTTAGTCCTGCCCTTTCTCTTCACAAAGTCTTCCAGGAACAGGAAACAGCCAGCTCAAAACCTGCTTTGCAGAGGAACCCTAGCATGGTCTTAAACTGTCATAAGGCATTCTGCTCTTAATGCATTGCTCAATCTACTCAATTGTGGGCTCTTGGGTTGTATCCAGTGTCCTTTCCTAAACCAAGATTGGGAATTCAGGTGGCCCATAGATCCCAGAAGTGGAGCAGCTGGAATGGAGGTCTCATGAAGAGCCCTGTGACCATGTGAAAATAGTGAAGGCCTTGGAGGGGGCAATAAGTACTTCATACTAATGGTCGGAGCTCAGCTTGTCCTTGTGTGCAAGTAGGGTCTGAATACTGTCTTCTTGCTCCAGAGACTTTTGAAGGCTAAGTCCCCTCCCTGCTCTGTAAAGGCTGGGTTTTTACCCTTTAGCAGCGTGATGTTGAAGGAGGCCAAGGTCTGTGTAGTTTGTTCTTTGAGACACCTGACAACGGAAGCCAGATTCCCGCATCTGTTTGGAATTATGCTCGAACTCTCAAAGGCGGTAGGATAGTCTCATTTTAACCCAAAGTATCAAGCAGTAACTATAGCAGCTCTGGCGTGGCCCATGGTCAGTTTGTCTCTGTGACAACCTGTTGTTTGCTTGTCTGCTGCCTAGGGCCAGAAGCAAACTCACACCAAGGAGGGAGTGTGGGCATTAGCTTGGCCTAGCAATCACTTCCATCACTTCCTCAAACCTCCACAATATAATTCAAGCAAAAGAGTTCTGCAATCTTTTTTTGTCAAGAAAACAATAACACAACTGAATATAATGAACCTTAGTTGGTATTATACTTTATACACAAAAAAAGAAGAAAAGGAAGTAGGTCACGCTCCCTATGCACAACCCAGAGGTTAAAAACTTAGATAAAGAACAGAGAAAACCTTTATTACTTCAAGTTAGGCAAAGATGTTTTAGATAGCACAGAAAACGCCTTGTGTGTGGAAGCAAAGCCCAAACCTTCCTTCTTTGCTGGACTGTGGGTCAGCTCTTTGACATCCAGCTGTCCTATAATTCATCCGGACTCTAGGGAGGTAAAAGCTTTAGATGAAAAGCCCTCGTCAGTCAGATATGCTGCCCTCACTGCACATTGTACTCACCTCCACCGTACATCTGGCACAGGTAGGGGAAGCGCCATACATTGCCCAGGCCCACAGCATAGGAGACACAGACAAGTAAGAACTGCAGGGGCTTGCCCCACTTTGGCCGCCCCTTCTCCACAACCCGAGACTGATCATACTCTGATGACCCCAGTCTTCCTGGGAGCTGACCAGGGTTTTCAGGACCTCCCCAGGACTGCAGCTCCTCGTCCACACGTGCTGAAGGTGATTCCATCTCCTGAGACAACTCTCAGTGTAGAATGAGCAACTGCTGTGTTCTCTTCTGGATTCCAGGCACCTGTGTTTTCTGCTGTTCTGTCTCCAGGACTCTGGAATCGACTTACTGCCCTATTTGGCATGGATCTTCTCTACTTGGGTGGTGTCCCCTTCTCTGCCTCAACCTCACAGGCGGCCAGTTCACACCCTCCCATTGATCTTTGGTCACATTCTTTTCTGTTTCATGTCTCTCAAACTCTGGAATTTCTGGGCTCCTCAGACTGCTCTTAAGGGTGTCTGCAGAGAATTTCACAAAGATAGGATTGTATCTGCTGGAGGCTGATGGTGAACAGGACAATGTTTAGCTACAGACTGCGTGATCTGTGTGTCTGTCAATTTCTATAGAATAAACACTCTCACTATGGGGCATCCTGAGCTTCCAATACAATTCATTAAGTGATACAGGACACCATTACGCTGGGTTCCCACCTTGCACATACAATGACACAGGCAGTCTCAGAGCATAACCGACAGTAAGGAATCAGAAATGGTGAGTTTTGAGTACTGTGTCTGATTTATAATCTATACATCCTCTGACCTCAATAATAACCGAATTTAACAATCATCCCACTGAAAGGGATGAAGCCCAGTTCTCTGGGGTGTCCAGATTCCCAGCACAGGTGATTCAGTCCCATTTAACCCCACCTGAGTGTTCCCAGGAAGCCGTTTTGGCTAATGGATGACTGCTTATAGGTGGGAACTTCACTGTGTCTACCAGAAAGTGGATGCAAAAGACTATCAAACCGTGTCACCAGAATTCTGGAGGGAAAAGAGAAAGGGAGGACAGCTTTAGACAGGGTCCTGTAGTCTTACCCTACCAACTAAGAAGGTTATACAATTTTCAATCATTTGCTCATCCTGGTGAGTCCACTGTTAATTAATCATTGAAGTTTCTAGTTTCCCGTATGAGAAAGTCCAAACTCCTTAGCTCTGTTTACAAGGTCTTGAGGGTTTTGTTGGTGGTGGTATTGCAGTTCTTAAAAGAAAAAATTATTTTTATTGATGGCTGTGAATCACCATTTGAGTGCCGAAAACTGGACCCAGGTTCTCTCCAAGAATAGCCAGAGCTTTTTAACTGCTGAGCCATTGTTCCAGCCCCAGCTTTTGAGATGGGGTTTAACTAAGTTGCTTGTTTAGGTTGGGTCTTCAGTCTTTCTGCTTCAATCTTTCAAATAAGTGGGTTATAGGTGCACCTCACTCACCTGGCTCATGTTGACTTCTAATAACAATTATTATATTATTTGATATTTGTTTTGTTCCCTAAGATATGGTCTATCTGGAGGAAATTCAATGTGCTTATGAGAATATATATTCTACAGTTGTTGTATGAATAACTTTTAAAAATGATAATTGATTTGTTATCATTATACAATGATCTCCCTTTCTCTTTGTTTTACAGGATTTTGTTGTTTGTTTTTTGAAACAGACTTCCATGATGTAGCCTCGCCCTGGAATTCATAGAGCTATCTATCATCTATTTGTCTTGGCCTCCCCAATAGTGGGAATTCAGGCACAATTTTTACCGTTTTTGGTGTGAAGTCTGTTTGATATTATCTTTTCATTTTCTAAATTAGTCTGGTCACATAACAAGAAGAAGTCTTCTATAGACAGAAGCCTGTAATTGCAACCAGGAAATGAGAAAAAGCCCGACCGTAGACACTTGCTTTGAGTTTTATCTACAGTGACAACTTTTCTTCATCTTATGTCCCAGATCTGAGTCAAAGTTTTCTGGAATAAACAGAAAGTGTTTTGGTTAATGTCAAGTGCCAATTGGTGAGAAAGAGGACACATTCCATAATCACCACTGCTGTGCCTCGAAACAGAAAAGATTCGTCTGAGATATGACTTAGTACCAGCCCAAGAGAATTATTGAGAAACATCTTGCTCTGCGTGTTGCAGGGGGCCCCTTGTTTGTCCCGGCCGCCCAGAACCGAAATAACCACACAGAAACTGTATTAATTAAATCACTGCTTGGCCCATTAGCTCTAACACAGGTTCCCCATTTTTCCGAGGCGCTATGCAGGGCTGTTCTGCTTCCTGGTTCCACTGCATCAGCTTGAGGGTGTGGCATAGAACTGCCCTCTCCTGTTATGTTAATTTCACCTACGGCCCAAGGGTGTAGCTTAGAGAGAACTCTCCCTTTACTGTTATGGTAATTCCCCCTGCAAGCAAGGTTCTCGCCTCAGGCAAGGTTCCCTGGTCAGAGAAGGAAAGGTTCCTCTTTTCTCTGTTCAGCTGCTCTCCGACCTTGGGTGCGGCCCCCTGACTTTTCTCTTTCCTTGATCCTGATGGGGGGCTGGTGTCCTTTTGCCCCACAGTATATATACCCGACTTATGCTTAATAAAGCTGCCATTTGCCGTTTGCTCCTTGGCAGATGAGCCCGGTCTCTTTGTGTGTGTGTCATATATTTTAACTCCTAGGACGGTCGTCCGTTCTCGTGGGCTTGAGTCAGGAAAAGCGCGCGCCTGTTTCGAGGTTCAGGTGTCCACAGAAGAGTGCGGAAGCTTACAACTAACTCTCTTTTTTAGGGATGTGGGGGGAAAGAAAGGGTTTATTGGGCTTACCTATCCTGCATAGTACACTGAATATGTACTGAATATGTATGATTCTTCAAGGCAAGAATCCAAACTGGGCAGGAACCTGGAGGCAGGAGCAGATGCAGAGGCCGTGGAGGATGCTGTTTACTAGCTTGCTCAGTCTCCTTTTTAAAAAAATTGATTTTTATTGAGCTCTACATTTTCCTCTGCTCCCCTCCCTGCCTCTCCCCTCCCCTTCAACTTTCCTCAAAGGTCCCCATGCTCCCAATTTACTCAGGAGATCTTGTCTTTTTCTACTTCCCATATAGATTAGATCTATGTATGTCTCTCTTAGGGTTCTCATTGTTGTCTAAGTTTTTTTTTGGATTGTGATTTCTTTGCTTTATGTTTAAAAACCACTTATGATGAGCAGAAGATACAAAGGAGGGGTAAGTGTGTTCCTGACCTGCCACACAAGCCCGGTAAGGGAACACACAATTTTCCCACCATCCTTATCTCCCTGGGTATTCTGAAGGGGCAGCTTCCCCCAGCTAAACCCTCTCTCCTCCTACCCCATCCCCACTTTCAGCCAGGAACCCCTTCCCTTCCTCTCTCCCTTTTTCAGGGCATAAAATCCTTCAACTCAACCTGTGTGGGCGCCGCCGGGACAGGGCGGTGAGTGCAAACGGGAGGGAGTTCCTTTGTTTTAATAGCCTGCCTGCAGCAAGGTAGGACTGCAGGCAAAGTGATTCCTGGCCAGCAAGGGGCACTATCCTGTAGCAGAAGACCCAGCGGAGGGAAGAGCCATTGGAGAGCATCTGAAGGAAGAGATGGGCAGGCGCCAAGGCAAGAATTCCTCCAACAATCTGAAAAACAACATGAAAACACCAGATCCCAGTGATCTTACAACAGAAGGACTTGAACACCCTATTCTGGAAGAAGTGGAAAACAGTGTCATTATGAAAAGCAATAGAGTCTCTTAAACAGGGTATGTCGGGATGGAGTAGGAGGAGAGAGGGTTTAGCTGGGGGAAGCTGCCCCTTCGGAATACCCAGGGAGATAACTCACTTAAAGAAATAGAAGAGAAATATAACAAAAAGATTGAAGAAATGAGTAAATTCGTAAACGATACCCTGGGAAACCAAGAAAAACAATCAAACAGGTAATGGAATCAGTTCAAGAATTGAAAACTGAAATGGAGGCAATGAAGAAAACACAAACCGAGGGCCAGCTGGATATGGAAAATCTAGGTAAACAAACAGAGACTTCAGGAACAAGCATAACCAATAGAATACAAGAGATAGAAGAACGAATCTCAGATTATGAAAACAGCATAGGGAAAATAAACGCTCTGATCAAAGAAAACAGCAAATCCAACAAATTCTCATCACAAAACATTCAGGAAATCTGGGACATAATAAAAAACCAAATCTAAGAATAATAGGGGTAGAAGAAGGAGAAGAATTGCAGATCAAAAGTCCAGAAAATATATTCAACAAAATTATAGAAAAAAACTTTCCCAACCTAAAGAATGATATTCCTATGAAGGTTCAAGAAGCATACAGAACACCGAATAGACTGGATCAGAAAAAAACATCCCCTTGCCATATAATAATCAAAACACAAAGCATTCAGATTAAAGAAAGGATATTAAGAGCTGCAAAGGAAAAAGGTCAAGTAACTTATAAAGGTAAACCTATCAGACTTACACCAGACTTCTCTATGGAAACCATGAAAGCCATGAAAGTACCTGGATAGAGGTACTGCAGAAACTAAGAGACCATGGATGCAAGCCCAGACTACTATACCCAGCCAAGCTATTGTTCACTATCAACGGAGAAAACAAAATATTCCAGGACAAAAACAAATTTAAACAATACGTAGCTACAAATCCAGCCTTACAGAGAATATTAGAAGAAAAATCACAACCCAAGGAATCCAACATTCCCAACACTGCCTACAATAACTCACACATCTAGCGACCCTTCACAAGCACAACTCAAAGAAGGAAAACACATACACTCTACTACCCAAAAAAAATGACCGGAGTCAACAACCACTGGTCATCAATATCACTTAATATCAATGGACTCAATTCACCTATAAAAAGGCACAGACATAGAGATTGGATACGAAAACAGGATCCAACATTCTGCTGTTTACAAGAAACACACCTCAACCACAAAGACAGACACCTACTCAGAGTAAAGGGTTGGGAAAAGGTTTTCCAAGCAAATGGACCTAAGAAACAAGCGGGTGTGGCCATTCTAATATCTAACAAAATCGACTTCAAACTAAAATCAATCAGAAGAGATGGAGATGGACATTTCATATTCATAACAGGAACAACTCATCAGGAAGAAGTCTCAATCCTGAATATCTATGCCCCTAATATAAAGGCACCCACATATGTAAAAGAAACTCTTCTAGAACTCAAGGCAGTCATCAAGCCACACACACTAATAGTAGACTTCAACACACCTCTCTCACCAATGGACAGGTCAATCAGACAGAAACCTAACAGAGAAATAAGAGAATTATTGGAGGTATTGAATCAAATGGACTTAACAGACATCTATAGAACACTCCACCCAAATAGGAAAGAATATACCTTCTTCTCTGCAGCTCATGGAACCTTCTCGAAAATTGACCACATACTCGGTAACAGAGCAAACTTCCACAGATACAAAAAAAATATTAGTAACCACCTGTGCCTTGTCAGATCACCATGGATTAAAGTTAGAATTCAACAACAATGCTACCCCCAGGAAGCCAACAAACTCATGGAAGTTGAAAAGTCAACTACTAAATCACCCCTGGGTCAAGGAAGAAATAAAGAAAGAAATTAAAGTCTTCCTTGAATTTAATGAAAATAAAGACACAACATACTCAAGTCTATGGGACACTATGAAAGCAGTTCTAAGAGGAAAGTTCATAGCACTAAGTGACCAATTAAAGAAAACAGAGAAAGCACACATTGGAGACTTAACAGCACACTTGAAAGCTCTAGAAAAAAAAGAAGCTGATTCACCCAGGAGGAGTAGAAGACTGGAAATAATCAAACTGAGGGCTGAAATCAACAAAATAGAAACACAGAAAACAATCCAAAGAATCAATGAAACAAAAAGCTGGTTCTTGGAGAAAATCAACAAGATCGAGAAACCCCTATCCAAACTAATCAAACGGCAGAGAGAGAACATGCAAATTAATAAGATCAGAAATGAAAAGGGGGACATAACCACAGACACAGAGGAAATTCAGAGAATCATTAGATCTTACTACGAAAGTTTATATGCCA